CCGATTGTATGATAGAGGCCTTTTAGTCTTGATATTGCTTTTGATGCTACGACGATGCTGGGGTTGCCGCAGCTCTTTTTCTTTGCTAGCTAACTTTGAGCCGTTTGAGCTCTACAGCTACAAGGATTCCGGAGTTTGCGAAATAGTGGCGTCCAATAAGAAGAATCCGTTGAACCTTTTGGATAGGTCATACTTCTCCTCCTTGATGAAAGTGACTCATTATCTATCAAGCGACCTTAGTGGAATGGCGCGCGTGGCGATTTTGACTTCAAAAGAGGGGACCCCTTTCTCGGCTGGTTTAGATTTGAATGAGTTGCGAAAGCTACAGCAAGAACGGGCGACAAAAACAACACACGATGAAACCAAAGATATTGTGGGTAAAAATTCGGCCACGCAGTTTCAACACCAGCACGTGCTGGTCCGTTTCTTCCAAAACAGTGTTTCTTCGTTGGCTCGCTGTCGCATTCCGATAATATGTGCGATTGATGGACACTGCATTGGAGGAGCAACTTCTATTATTACGGCTTGCGACTTCCGTTACGCCACTGAGAAGGCATCATTTTCGGTGAAGGAGGCTCAGGTTGGTATTGCGGCTGATCTTGGTGTTCTACAGCGACTTCCGGGGATTGTTGGTGAAGGCCGTGCTCGAGAACTTGTGTACACTGCACGTTCCTTTAATGGCAACGAAGCAAAAGAAATGGGTCTCGTGGAAGAGGTCTTCACCAATCGAGATGAAATGATGAAATCAGTGCGACATGCCGCCAGTATTATTGCGGCAAATTCTCCGTTGGCTGTGCAGGGGTCGAAGTTGTTAATGAACCATCGAAGAGAGCCTGATGTGGAGAGGTCCCTTGAATACACTGGGGCCTGGAGTGCAGCGAATTTGTCATGCGGTGACGTTGCTGAAGCTGCAATTGCATTTGCAAAGAAACGCCCCCCCCATTTTAAAGACCACTTGTTAGATCCAAGCTCTTCTATGCCGCGGGATTGAGATCGAGCATGTTTAAGAGATAGAGGGGAGACAACGCTTTGAGCTCCTGAAGCTGCCTCTACTTGTTATGCTTGCATGACTATATATCAGCCTTTTCTTTTGTATTTTTTGCTCCCTCGAGTGTCTTCTTTTCGTATATGATTCTTTGTTTCTGTTGTTGAGTTTTTTTTTCTCGTTCGCCACGTTTATTTCCTTACACAGAGAGAGGAGTGCGGCGCTTCATTACGCATGAAGGTTGTACTGTTGTTCTCAGTGGAATGAGGTTCACCCTGCTTACTGTTTGGCTTGCTTTTTTTGAGTTTTCCTTCTTTCTTTTCTTCCTTTTTCATCTGATTTCGTAGGGCTCTGAATCCGAAGTGTATACAAACGTTAGAACCACTACATTTTTAGCGGACGTTTATCACTTGTACATCAGGGGTGCAGGACTTTTTTGGCGTAAAAGAAAAGGAAAAAGAACAGTAGTTATACGAAAAGCTCCAACTTGCCCCTTTCCCCCTACAAAAAAGAAGAAGATGAACTACGCAACGGTACTGAACGGTCCGTTTTCAAGTAACAACAGCAACCAATACCCGCGATTGGGATACCCCCCTAATTGCTATGGGCAGCAGGCTGAGATGATGGGTCAGCCATCCCCAATGATGCAGCCACAACAGATAAGCAGTGGCTCCAGCCAAACCGTGAATGTGTACCAACAGTTTCCCCAACCTCCTATGCTGAGAGACCCTAGGAGCAACATTCATATTGGAAGCAAGCTCTTCGTTGGGCAGGTCCCTGCCATGACAACTGAAGAGCAGCTGCGCCCGGTGTTTGAGCCGTACGGGGAACTATTAGAGGTAAAGATAATGCGTGATCCGTCGGGGCGGTCAAAGGGAAGCGCGTGGGTACGCTATGAAACAAACGAAATGGCCATGAATGCCATCAACGCCCTTCACGAGAAGCACACTGTTCCACCTCAAACAAACCCACTGCGCGTGCAATTTGCTACGCCTAACAGCGCAAAGCATCAACAGCAACAACAGCAGCAGCAACAAAGGTACCCTCTGGAGATGAGGGCGCCAATAAATTCGTACAATTTTGGTGGGCCAATGGATGGTAATGCGCCGCAAGGCGGTATGGTGATGCTGCGCCCAGGTGTCTCGTCCAACATAATCTCTTCCCTTTCACCAAACAGCGGGAGTGGGGGCCGGTATGTGTCTCCAACCATTGGTGCACCCATTGAGTCCGCGTCTATGATGACGGGGTCTTACACATCTTCGGCATACCGTTTTGATAACACAAGCAACGTTGGGAGCAGAAGGGATGTGTACTCGACTTCAGATCAACTGCAAGCCGCTGCAGCACAGTTATGCCCGCCGCAAAGAGGGAGCTTTACTTCTCTCACCACACCGCAAGGCATATACAATCAGCAGTCGCCCTCGCAACAAAATATGGCTCGTAATAATAACAGCAGCAAGAATGGTTCAAACGTCAATATGGGTCAATTGGGTTCCGGACATGGTATGGGCAACGCCAACAGTATTGGGGCACCATCCATGACAGCTGATTCTTCTTCCTTCAATTCCGGAACGACCATTTGGGAGATGAGGAACAACAACAACAACGGCCTCCAAGCTCAGGAACAGCGCGAAGCATTAGTGCGCGTGCGTCCAGGCGAAAGAAAAGATGATTGAAAAAAGAAAATTAAGCGACGGTGAAAAAACAACAAGAACAAGGGGATTTGTAAATACCATCACCAGAATATGACCTAATTTATCGTTTGTGTTCACAGGCACGTGTATCATAGTGGCGTCAAAAGCTATTCCGGACGTATGGGGGATAATATAGAACGTATCATTACCTCTTTCTCGAAGGAGAAGCTTCAGATTGTTGGGAGGACACTGTGATTACTTTCTGAAGTGAAGAAACGACACGAGAATTTATCATGGGTGAGATATAGGGAGGATGAGGGGAGAGACACCCCGAGGTGAGTTGTCTGCAACGAAAACAGGAAAAAAAAATGTGGTTATGGCTGCTGCAGCTTCCAAGGAAAGTAGAAGATTGTGATCTATGTGAGGGAAATATGCAGGGGATTGTCAAGTCGCAGGACCACACAAGTATCGCGCAAGCTCCGGGATCAACTGTTGGTGGTTCTGAGTGACTCTTCAGGTTTATTGCTATTCACATACACTCACCATGCAGCAACGTATCGTGAATGGGCTAATGCAACAATGTGGTTTGCGTCTTTAAATGTGTGTGGGTTCGGCGATCAAGAAGGTACAATAGAATACTCAAAAAAAGCCAAGAAGAAATAAAAAAAAAAAAAGAAAAATAAGAATGAAAATATTGAGGCAGGTCCAATTAAAAAAGAAAATAGAAGGAAATGCATCGGCGGGGACACTGAGTTCCATAAGGTAGCGCCACAGAGGTATCGTTTGGAAGCATATTCTCTGAACTTTTTCTCCACAGATCCCACTTCATCTGATAAATGAGAATTATGAAGGCAAAAAACAAGAGGAGAGATACGGGTGTGGTGAGAACACCGAAAGGTAGAAAAAGGGTCCAATAATCATAGCAACAGCATCCGACTACTACCTTTCGTCCTCAAACATCATATTTCCTCTGTTCTCCAGGATGATTGTAATGAGAAAAGAGCTTTATTTTGTTGTTGCGGAGGGACAACAGTGATACGGGCAGCTGCCCGTGCTACTATCAAAGGGATTGAAAGTACAAACAACAAAACTACCAACACAACAAGAAAGAAAATATCAATTTAATCCAAAGGAATATGTGACCGCAGAATTAAGAAGTGTTATATTTGCTTGTGCCGTGTGAAAATGAGGAGGGGTAAAGTGTCATTTACTACTCTTGGGCTTCTGCCGTGTCTTTGTATTCCTTCATTCCCCTTTCTTTTTCTATCTCTCTGTGTGTGTACTCCGGGGGCTGAACACTGGTTGCTTTGAGTACGTGTGTTTCCATCATATTGTATTGCCTTTCTCCATTGCTTTCATTCCGTGCTGTGTCTGTTCATCTCTGTGTGCCCTCACTGTTTGATGTTTTGGGTTTTCTGCTCTGCTTGCGAGGGGAGCCAGACACAGATCACGGGACGGCGCCTCGAAATGGTCGGCAGGATTACGCAAGTAGAAAAAAAATGTATTGGGTAGTAAAGGTATAATGTTTTTATGCTCTTTTTCGTTCTTTTCTGTTTATTTCCGTTTTATTGCGTTTCATTTGCTTTATCTTCGTTGTTTCACCTGTTCTTTGGCCTTTTTGTTGCTGTTCTTGTTTTCTGATTTTTTTTTCTCCTTTTTGTGCGATGGTATAACTCAATTATATATTTATATATATTATGTGTGTATGTGTACGCGTGTGCGGCGCCACTGCTTGCTGCCCTGTTGACGGTGGGGTTTATGTGCGTGCAAGAGTGGGAGATGGGCGTTTCCATTCGGCTGGCGCGCGCGCACACACACACACACACACACACACACACAGAGCCACACGCAGCGGGGAGGCACAGAATTTCTTTTCCGCACATACGGTGCACACATACACAGAGAGAGAGGAGAAAAGGAAAAAGCTGAACAGAGAGGCGGGGGAGCGAAATAGAGGAAATGAAAGAAGACACAGAACCTAAAGCACAGATGCAGTTCAATGAAATTGAACTCTGGACATGTTGCGAATGGGGATACTGGGCTGCGCAGACAACATGCTGCTTAGCACACTTTCCACGTATGCATGCACATACGCATAATCTGTAGCTGGTCTTCATTATTGTTTTCTTTTTTTTTTGCTTTTATCTCTCTCTGTTTGCGTTCATGAAAAATGTTTTCCGTTACTAACACACCTTCTCTGGATTTATCGACTGGGAGATCCTGCTGTGCCTTCGTCTTCGCAGCTTTGCGGTGATTTTCTCCAGTGTGCCACGCTCGGCACGCATGGATGTGCATCTGTGTGTGTGGGGGTACGTGTGGTGCGAGCAGAGGCAAAAGATACGTGCGTGTGGGCGCAACACCAATAGAATGGGGGGGG